GTGTGTGTGTGTGTGTGTGTGTGTGTGTGTGTGTGGTGACTTGCAGGTGCCAGATGTGTGCTTGTGTTAATCATACTGGAGTCTTGAGTTTAGATTTGTGCCCTGCATTTAAGAATTATTTTCATTTTCTCTCGCTGTATTTTGTCTATAACAAAATGTTCTTGTGTCTTTAGCACAGAGAGTCTAAGACTGAAACGATATTTGGTTTACAAAAAGCCGAAAGCTACGAACAAGTATGGAAAGTATTTTACGTTCTTTTCTTTGTACAAGTATTTTTTTCTCATTTTTTTTAAATTGACTTTTAATCGTACAACTGCATTCAGTATTCCTTACTTGTCAGAGTTGTAAAGAAAATCAGAACGACCTGCTGGTGCCCTGTGTGTGTTTACTCTCAGCCACATACACCAAATTTTAGCTCAATATATGTAAAACTGACTGGGTAAATAATTTTTTGTGTTTGCTGATGTGGTGACCATCTTGAACTGGACTGGATTTAATCAGTTGTGATGTGTTAATGGGGACATATCACGCAAAATCCATTTTTTTAGACGTTAAACACATTTTGTTGTGTGCTCTAGGAGTGCAGAAAAGTTTAAATAAAATTTTCCCGGTGCTGCGTAGATATCTTTATATTCTGTTTGGGTCATGTTTTTCAAGCCATTCAATTTTCTCCATTTACTATGACATTTTCTGAACTATTTCGTTACAGGTTTTGTTGCAGAACTGCCAGATTATGTCTGGATTATCAATTAAATTTTGATCATTTTCATTTTCCTCTGGCACTGGGTCAGACTCATGGGTCCAACATGTAAGGCTGGATGAACAAGTTGTTCACATCCTTTAATTAAATTGTAAAAAAAAAATTTCTGCACCACTATACAGTCATAAAACCCTCTATCAAACTAGAATGAACCACTCTGGAAGCTGGAGGGGGGCACTTCATTTAGATTTAAAGAGACAGCCTCAAAACGAGTTGATCTGAGACACCGCTCAGAAAACTGGTGAAAGAGGGGATTGTGGAGCTACAGTAAGGAGGAATTTAGACCAAATCATTGCATTTCCACATTATATAAACCCCAAATGAATGATTTAATTGTGAAAAGGGAGGATTTAAAAATATATGTCTACTTTAATACAAGAATTTCAAAGGAGCTAAAGATTTCTGGTAAATTTCCTGAAACTTTCCATGAAAAGTGAATCTGGGAAATATTCCAAATTGTAAAGTAATTTTGAATATTGTGTCAGTTAAGTGGATTTGGGGTTAATATAAACAAACTGTATGGTGAGCAAATAATGACTTTGTTGACCCAAAGTTCATGTGAGTAGCAAATATAATTTTTTGATGTGCATATAAAGTTGTGGCTGAAGATAACTTTGTGTTATAATTACATGGGTTTTACAAAACAATGGATTTTGAACAGTTTTACATTTATCTTTTTGTTGTAATTCTTTCTATATTCATCATATCCATATCATGAACTGTAATTTCATAATAAAGGTCCATCTCATCTCATCTCATCTCATCTCATCTCATCTTCACATTTCAGAACAATATATATA